TTTCCATTCACCTGTGCTGATGACAGATTAACTGTTTTAAATGAAACACATACTGGCAGTTTGGGTGAAATTTTATGCGCATAATTGTTGAGTGTGTAAAGAGGTGTCCTGCTCTGACATCTCCACTCCGCTGCAGATATAAGCAGTTACTCTGCAAGACTCTGACAGACTTTTTCCTCCATCCTCAGAGGGACCAAACTGCATCTTTTCTTTCAAAGCATGTTCAGTTCGACCTGCAGGTGAGTCCACACAGGTGAGTCTGCGACATCTCACGCAGCTCCTAAAGGCTATGTTGTTTTTATCTCAGTCTGTGGTATATTAAAGTAAGTGCCAGTAACATGTAAACTATTATCAAATAAATAATAGAACAAATGTAATCAATGGAGTTCTATGTATTCTGTATATATATATATATATTTAATGTTAAAAAAAAGTGAAACTTATAATCATCTGTCTGTTTCTGTCTGAAAGGTAACAGCAGCACTTCAGTGTCAGATCAGAGGTGAGTGGAAAATTTAAAAAAAAACAAACATCTCCAAAGTCATTAATATGTGTATCAATTTCTAACATCAATAAGTCATTGTTTTAAAGGAGCTTAGAAATATAGATTAAATAAATATAATTAACACACAAATTTATATTTGTGTGTCTTAATTCAATTCAGTTTTATTTAAACAGTGCCAAATCACAATAACAGTCACATCTTTCTAGCATCATTGTAAGGTAGACCCTACAATAATAATGCAGAGAAAAACCCAACAATCATATGACCCCCTTATAAGCATGTTGGCGACAGTGGAAGGAAAAACTCTCTTTTAACAGGAAGAAACCTCAAACAGAACCAGGCTCAGGGAGGGGCGGCCATCTGTTGGGGTGAGAGAAAGAAGACAGGACAAAAGGCATGTTGTCTCAGACATGTAGCACATTGTACAACAAGTGTTTAGAAATCATCGAGTACTAAAGATGCTAAGAAACTCTCCATGAGGTTTGGTTTGAGGCACTTTATTCTTATAGCTCAATGCCTGTGGTTGTAATCACAGGGGTGTGTGTGTGGCTTTTTATCATCCACGCACACATCACATCCCACAGGAATCAGTGCACCCCCACCGGACCAACACTGCTCGTCCGACATTAAACTGCCCACCTTACTAACTGGATGATGTCACCAGACAGTGGGCTGGATCAAACTAACAGAACTTTGGGTCCTTTTATACAGTTACAGACATATGAACATCAGAAGAGGTGAAAAGGCTGTTATCTATTCAGTTTAAATTCTTTTTTTTCTTTTTAGAATATATATATTTTTTATAGCCAACGTAGACAGCTGAATGAAATTATACCACCCTGTTAGGTCAGACCTGAGCACTGCACAGCCTCCTGTACAACACTGCTGAAGGATACATGCTTTCAGAGCAAAACACTTTGCAGTTTAAGAGCACCGCTGATGTAAGCTGGTCATGAAATGCTACACTGTGACTAATGAGGCACCTTGGACCAAATGAGTATAAATACCAGCACCTTTTACCTCAGCCAAGCATCACAAAGGAGCTGACAGAAGCCAGTCAGAGGATCTCAACCTTCCTGAAAATGAAGACATAACATGTTGCAGTTGCAGGGGCCCTTCAGGAGAGCTCTGCTACATTTGCCGAAACAGGCCGACTTAAATTCATGAATGAGCAGCCAAGACACTAACATCTGGTTTTCTTTAAACAGCCACAAGAGCTATCGGGGGCAACAAGCAATGACAGTCCAGTTGCAACTGTGAGTCAGCTAACATAGGGAGATGCTAGCTGACTCACAGTTGGTGTGCTCAATTCATTCAATTAAAACAATGACTGTAAAATCACTCAAATATAAGTGTGTGCGTGTGTGTGTATGTGTGGTTCTTTTAAAACATATTTTCCCAATTCCATCTATCCACAGGAGAAGGGGGGGTGCTAAGGGATCATGCTGCAGGCTCTTCACATTTTGCTCGTCTTTCACACAAAATCAAACACAGTATCGAACAGAATCCTGTTAGGTGTCAGGTGTTACTTTTGCTTCAGACAGTAGATTGTTTTATCCGTGCTTTTACTGACTACTGAAACTTATGGAAGCCCGTTTCTGCCACAAAAAAAAGTATCCATAACTTGAAATTTCGAGTTATCTTTCTCGAGATTTCGACTTATTAACTCAAAATTTTGACCTATTTTCTTGAAATTTTGACTTATTTTCTTGAAATTTTGACTTATAAATTCAAAATTTCAATGTATTAACTCCAAATTTTGAGAAAAGTAACTCAAAATTTCGAGTTAGCTCCGCCAATCAATAATCTACGTGGAATGCGCACTCAAAACCGGATCACAACAATTTGGCGCTTTCAGGAGTATGTTTACTGATAGAAACGCCATGTGATTCCGCTAATAACTCAAGGATTTCATCATTTGTGAAGTCACGCTGGAAAATAATCAGCAATTTGTGCATTCATGACTGGCTGTAATACTGGTAGCTTAGCTGTAGCATTTGTGGCTGAGGGCTTCAGCTTCCGGGTAACAAGGAAAAGACGTCATTCACGTAGATTACTGATTGGCAGCGCTAACTTGAAATTTCGACTTATTAATTCAAAATTTTGAGAAAAGTAAGTCAAAATTTTGAGCTACTTTTCGAGTTAATGAGTCGAAATTTTGAGAAAATAATATGAAATTTCGAGTTATGAATACTTTTTTTTTTTTTTGGCAGAAATGGGCTTCCTTAGTACTAGCTCCTGTGGGGGTGAAAAAGCTGTAAACAGGAAAATAAACAAAGCGGGCGGCTTAGAGCAGCTTTATGAATGCTCATATGATTTATCACATCATTGGACACTGCACTAGTACTGCTACTTTACAGTATTACTAGTGCATCATTCAAGATGAATGTAACCAAGGTTGTTAGGATAAACGCATTAAGTGAGCTTGATAATGCTAATGCTAAATTTTTAAAAAGGACTTGAATAAATACTGTCTGTAAATGTTCTCACAAACACAGTCCTTACAGTTAGCGAGATGTGATAGCTGCTAATCCAAAAGTCCCCAGTGCTGCACTTACCCTCAGGAAAGAGTGGAGCAGATGAACAGCGGTCATGGGCGATCGTGGCTCAAGAGTTGGCCGTTCGCCTTGTAATCGAGAGGTTGCCGGTTCGAGCCCTGGCTCGGACAGTCTCAGTTGTTGTGTCCTTGGGCAAGACACTTCACCTACTGGTGATGGCCTGAGGGCTTCGAAAAGCGCTCTATAAATGCAGTCCATTATTATTATAATAACAAAGTACACACACACCATAAGAGGGTGGATCGATTAATAGATGAAGGGATGGACTCAATAGTGAGCAATTGCAATACAAACAACTGCAGCACCATTATATATCCATCTTCTTTACAAAATAATTTTTTGTGTTATGCGTGTTTGTCATTATATCTCAAAGAATCAGCATTACTTTCCTTTTGCTTTGGTATTTGAGGACAAACTATGGTGAACAAGCAAATGCAGGCTTGCCTTTCACTTGGAATTTCCAAGCTGCAGGCTCAAGCATAGATGCTGGGAATACAGAGTGTTGCAAGTTCACCTGTGAGAGCAGGCTGAACCCTTGTGAGTTATGAGTGACAAAACGTGTCCTAGCTGCTTAAACAACATTGAGCAGCACACCAGACAGGTTTCAGAAAATAAATACAGCAGCCAAGGAAGAGTTAAAAGATAATTATTCTGTTTAGATGTAGGCCTTCTTTTGTTTTATGTACAGTAACTGTAAATGTTGCTTACACTATGGTTCTATGAGGCACTTTTACTGTGAGTCTGACAGGTTTTAGAAATTAGAACCAGCAACTAACACAGAGTTAAGATGTAATATAACAACTTAGTTTATGCAAATGTAAGCCTGTCTTTGCTGGTTCACACACAGCTATAAATCCAGTATGCTTGTATTATCCACTTTATACTGTGTATGAAATTTAAACATAGAAGAAAGAGTTTATAGCTTTTCTTTAACTCAACTACAGAAGCGTATTTTCTACAGGACTCAACACTTCATGCAGTGCTTTCAGAATATTGGTTATATGCTTATCTCATCATTCTTAAATGAACTCACAAGTGACATCCACAGTTTGATGGATTGAATCTGAGTATTTAAAAAGTCATTATCTGCAGCAAATAAACATTCGAGATCCTGATCCTTTTTTATCCGTTTGGTTGGTTTAAAGAATTCTTTCATGAGCCATTAAAATTTTTGAAGTTATTATAAGGAAACAACGTATCAAGGTATAATGATATAAATAGTACATATTTTGGTCCTTCAATAAAAGTATCAGAATGTTGCTTGAAAAAAGAAACTTGGAGTTGCAGAGCGAAGAAACAAACATGGATAATTTCCCATTTCCGATGCAGTGGAATTTCCCAGTCCCACTGATGCAAGACTGCTCCAGACATAGCTTTTGTACTTTGAGTGCTTGTTTCTCTGTGTGTGAACACTGTCCAGCCCACCCCACAAGAAAGTGGTTATGTAAATGGATGGATGGATGGATGAATGGCCATTTTTACAAGTCTAATAAAGGAAAAATCTACATTTAAAATGACAACAAAAATGCACATTACACTTAAATTAAAAGTTTATTGTGATAAACTGTGCAATACAAGCACGTGGTTGAGGCAGTAACTGAGGACACAATGTGACTAAAACAGTAAAATCTCACACATTGTCTGTGAGATACAGTTTGTTAATACTGAGTGGTTGTTGGAGCAGAAATCCTCAGAACCTGCAGCAAACTCCACAGATACCGGGGTTGCAATACTTTGCAAAACTCCTGATTTTCCGGTGCTATGAAATTATAGGAATGGGAAATTCCTGAGGAACGAGAAAATCTGTACTTTTCTCAGTCGGCATGAACTTTGACCTTTTCTTCGGGTGTTTAACTATATGGGTTTTCCCTTTCCTATTGATGCAAGCCTGTTCCCGGCAGTAGCTGCTGTACTCTAAATGACGAGGCAGCAGTGGAGCAAATGAGTATAAATACCAGCACCTTTTCCCTCAGTCAACCATCACAAAGGAGCTGACAAGAGTCAATGAGAGAGTCAAAGGATCTGACCACCTTAAACCACTCAAACCTCCTGAAGATGAAGACGTTCAGCGTTGCAGTTGCAGTTGCCGTTGCACTCATGTGTATTTGCATTCAGCAGAGCTCTGCCACATTTGCTGAGGTAACAGACTGCGTTAAATTCATGTAATGTGCTTTTTCTGCATCAATTTGTTGTGAAGATGCTAAGATCTGTTTTCTTTCTCTACAGATACGAGAACTGCAAGAGCTACAAGAGGCTGTGAGCAATGACAGTCCAGCTGCTGAACATCAGGAGGTATCAGCTGACTCATGGATGGTGAGTTTACTTCAATAAATGAATGAAGACAGTAATTGTGAGATCTCTCAAATGTAGGAAGATGTTTAAAATAAACTTTGCACTCACAGCTTCACGTAAAAATGGAGAGAATAAAGTGACTTGCAGCTGAAGATAAACTCTCTGCTCTTCTCCTCTTTCACACAGATGCCGTACCACAGACAGAAGCGTGGCATGAAGTGTCGCTTTTGCTGCGGCTGCTGCAATGCTGGTGTCTGTGGATTGTGCTGCAGATTCTGAGAATATCTACCTGCGATTATCACAACAACCACTAAATATTGACTGTTATACATGAAATGATTTGACTGCTTAGCATTTGTTAAAGTCTGACAGTGTTTCTTCATTCGGTCATCCTGCTGTAACAGTGAACAGTGTTCCAAGCATTTGGAACTACAGTATGTTATTATATTAAAAAGTTCAGAGTCACTATACTACAACATGTGCTGTTTTTTTCTGTTTCTGTCTGACAAGAATAAAAC